TTAAATGACGTATTTCGTCACCTAAAACCTTGGTGCAAAGTGTTGTGCTGTTTAGAAGTCTCACGTACTTTAGTAGTAGAATACAAATATTTGCAAGTTGAAAGTACGATTTAAGGTATCTGTGCGATGGACATTCACAGACTTATTGCCATAAGATTTACTAGATACAGGTCTAGTATAACAGTACAAACCTTGGCACAGTAGTTTTACTCTTAGTATACATCGCTATGCTTTCACAGACGTTTTCAGACAAGTTGGATGGTCTGTCGAAGTTCTTCCTTGCGGAGAAGCAAGAAAAGTTCGTGTAAGACTGATTTATTGTGTGTGTTTTTTTCATTATTTACAGGAGGAGTTTACGACTTTAGAGGAGAAGGCCAGCAACGTGCTGCAAGATTTAGAAAAGGCTCAGGTTAGTTGTAATGTGAAACTAGATGCACCTCTGTTTTTCTTTCCTTTTATGTTAGAAAGCGTTGAAATTTTTAAATTGTGCCTCAGCGTGGAGGAACATAGGTAAAGTTAATTCATTAATAAAACTCAAAACCCTTTTCTAATAGCTTAGTCAAATTCTGTAAGACTGAGAAAAATACTATAAACCAAAACAGCCCCTTATACCACCACCCCCCTCCCCACTTTAAAGTTTTCCTCCAGTTATATGCACATTTACCAGTAAACAAAAAATACATCTGATTATAAGCCCCCTTCCAGCTTGTAACGTCCATTTGCATGATGGCATCTTTTAACTACTACGACCAGAGTGCTTTTGGTTTTTCCTTTCATATCTAAATTTGGTAATCCCAGAACAAAAGCCTGAAAGATTCTGGTCGTAGTAGTAAAATGAAGCCATCGTGCAAATGGCTTATTGAAAAGAAGAAGATGTATTATGACGTTTTGAAGCTTAATTAACCCTTTCTCTACCAGAGTGAATGTTGGAGTCCGTTAAGGTAGTTTTAACTTTTGAGTCTGTGGACAAAATCCTATGATGTGATCATTCAAATGAAACCTCTCTGCCTGTACTTTCAAATACTGCTATTTGTTTCCAAAATTTTACAAAACGAAATTTGGGAATTTTTGTTGCATTTTGCCCTTGGCCACACTTGGCACTGAAAGGGTTAAAAACCAGTAGAAGCAGAACGTATTTTGATCAGCACTGCTATAGCTTGTTTCGAAGCGCTTTTTTATTTCGGTTATAAGGCCCTCCGTTTATGAGCCCTCTTTAAACCCCTTACAAAGATTTGTAAGTCCAGAGCTTATAAGCAGCTGCAGTTTACGGTATCTTGATTTGAGCCCTGCAGGCCATCTAGAATAAGCAACTTTACAGATCTCCTAGAAATGTTACGTGGAATTATAAGTTGGGTTTTCAGTTTTTCCTTGTGCTTGTCCTTATATTTGAGTCTAGGCTGGCCATTTTCACGGTAAAACAGGTGTTTTTTTTTTATCCTTGTACGTGTTTCTGCGTCGCTCGTAAAAACCAGAGGTTACTTAACAAATCTTCCTTTTTAGAAGAGAGCTAATATTAGAGAGTTTTAGATCCGAGTTTACCGCGAACCTCTAACCGCGGTTTGCGGTTTGACGTTCAAACATAATCCGATTTAGATTGGCGGTGGATTAAAGAAGTGGATTCTGGTTTATTTTTCCATTTAGAAATAGACGAAAAATGAATCAGTGAAATTGAAAGAAATTTACGGGAACACAAGGTTATCTAGCAGCAAAGAGCTGTAAATTCTTACATTAGTTCTTCTTGCAATTTTACGGCCGCCATTTTGAATCAGCTGCCATGAATGGCTTTTGTTTTCAAGATCCAATAGGATTTATCAAATTTAGCATTTCGCCCGAATTTGTGCCTCTGTAAATGGATAAAGACTTGCTCCACAAGTTTTTTGTATCATTACGTGGGATAAAACAAGAATTATGCACTAAAAGCTTTCAGGTAAATGACATAACGTGAAAACCTATCTCCCCACGTTGAAAACGCACGTCGTAAACCTCAAACGTGACGCGAAAGACTTGTCACGTGACCTCCAGCGGTCAGAGGCTCGCGGTAAACTCGGATCTAAAACTCTCTATTGTGCTTATTGTACACACAGCAAGAGATGTCGGAAATGGAGGAATCCCTGGAAGGTTTGAGGAAAGAACTGGAGGCAGTAGAGAAGGAAGAAAACAAGCTGCGAGCTCAAGAAGTGGATATCAAACATGAAGTAGAAAAATATGAGACTGTATTGAAGGAAAATCAACAGAAGGTCAAGCACTGGCAGAAAGAGGTATACAATGCAGCCTGTGAGCAAGCTCTTCATTTTGGGGGAGTTGCGAGTAGTCACGCGAGAGCGAGGAAAAAACCTCCACCCCTCGTGGCTTCGCCGCTCGCCGCGCTCGCCAAAAATGGAGACCCTGCTCGCGGACTTTACAATGAAGGATCAAATTCTTGTTTTTTGTAAACAACGAAACACGTTGGCAAGAGAAGTTTGGTTATGGAAGCTACTAACCATCAAAGATGAAAACAACGGTGCTGCAATTTATGTTTATGTTTTATTATTATTATTATTGATCATCACATTTACAATACTACAAAAAAAAATTCAACTAAACTGTTCAGCGAGGTAAATTGAATAATCTAAAGTCAACTTAAAATTTACTGTTTTGTCTTAACGTAATCAATGAATGAAATTTTAAATCTAAGTACATTTTCTCGACTAGTTAAAAAGAAAACCTGTTGCTCAGTAACTTCAAACTGATAGAATTGCTATTGACCCTCAAGTCAAAAAAGCCAAGCAAAAGATACAGGGGAATTTCTCGAACACTGGGTTTTTTCGAAATTGCCGATTATAGGCCATTTTCACGATTTCAACATTTGACTACAACTACCAGAATTCATTTCGTTTTGCTTTCTTATTCAAATTTGTCAATCTCGCTCGGGCTTAAAAAACAATAGGCCTAATTTGCACAAGAAAACACAAACTGAAGGATTCTGGTAGTTGTAGTAAAATGACGACATCGTGCAATTGTCCTATGCGAACCAAACCCATCTTCTCTTTGCCAGTCAAACACTGTAATTTTACCCCCGATTTCTCAAACCTCCTGATAAATTCCAACCAATTTGCTGTTCCCTAGGTGTTTCGTGTTTTCGGGATTCCACTGTACAAGACAAAAAATATATTTGGGAATTTGCCGGTCGTGTTGACCAGTGACCTATTGCCCGACCAAACAAGTCTTAGGTCGAACTCGTCTCTCTTCTGACCTGTGAGAATGTTAAAAATAGCACGATTATACCTTGAACTTACAAGCCTAGTAACAAGCAAAAAAAATAGGATGAAAAAAGATGACTGTGTGAAAGTGCATTTTTTCTGGTCGCTTTTTTACGTGTCCTGTTAAAATGCCCGGTAAAGCGAAAGTGTTTCCAGACAAATGGGCATCTCTGTCGGACAGTGTCTGTTGACCGGCCTTTATTCTGTATAACAATGAAATGTTTACCACCCAGCCCACCACCGTAGGACTATCAAACTGTCTACCCTCATAGCTGCATATAGTTNATCTCGCTCGGGCTTAAAAAACAATAGGCCTAATTTGCACAAGAAAACACAAACTGAAGGATTCTGGTAGTTGTAGTAAAATGACGACATCGTGCAATTGTCCTATGCGAACCAAACCCATCTTCTCTTTGCCAGTCAAACACTGTAATTTTACCCCCGATTTCTCAAACCTCCTGATAAATTCCAACCAATTTGCTGTTCCCTAGGTGTTTCGTGTTTTCGGGATTCCACTGTACAAGACAAAAAATATATTTGGGAATTTGCCGGTCGTGTTGACCAGTGACCTATTGCCCGACCAAACAAGTCTTAGGTCGAACTCGTCTCTCTTCTGACCTGTGAGAATGTTAAAAATAGCACGATTATACCTTGAACTTACAAGCCTAGTAACAAGCAAAAAAAATAGGATGAAAAAAGATGACTGTGTGAAAGTGCATTTTTTCTGGTCGCTTTTTTACGTGTCCTGTTAAAATGCCCGGTAAAGCGAAAGTGTTTCCAGACAAATGGGCATCTCTGTCGGACAGTGTCTGTTGACCGGCCTTTATTCTGTATAACAATGAAATGTTTACCACCCAGCCCACCACCGTAGGACTATCAAACTGTCTACCCTCATAGCTGCATATAGTTGATTAATTGTTATCGATGTATTTGTGTCCTTAGCTGAGTAAGCTGTCGCTGCAGCCTGTAAGTGCCTCTGCTGATGCTGAACCAGAAGAGAGTCTTCCAACTCTGACGCGGGAGGAACTGGAAGGGGTTGATAAAGAAACTGTCATGGTAAGCAGCAGGATTTTTAGTTTGAAAGTTACTGCATACAACAATGACCATATAATAGCATGGTTCGTACAATCTTGTAAAGGTCTTGAGTTTTAGTAGTTGTCTTGAAAAGTCCTTGAATTCGGTAAAGGTCCTTGAAAGGTACTTGATTTCTTTATTAGGTGTTGAAAAATCCTTGAAATTCACTACCTTGTCTAAAAACATGCATGTGCATGAGCAATATCTTACTTCTGTTTTTTATTTTATTTTAAATGCTATTTCTGTACCTCAGATACAATTGCAAGTCATACCCAGTCATTTGTACCAAAAAATGTGTTGCGCGTGCAGAGTTAAAATTTTGCTCATTAAACCTATTGCTTTTTTGCTTTTCGTTTTTATACTTCTAAATTATTATTATAAGGGGAATTAGTAATTTTCAATCAAAAAGCCTGCCGTTAATTTTTGAATTAAGGAAACCTGTTAAACTGAAGACGCATCCTTCTCATTCGTCTTCTGGCCCGGATTCTAGAGGCCTGTCTGTAATTTTGTTGATGCATTTTTTTCAGTATGAAATTACTGTTTTGGAGGAAAAATTACAGCAGATGAAACCAAACATGGCAGCTATTGCTGAATATCGTAAAAAGGTAATGTATAGCAAACGTCTCCTCCTCATTTTCGCCATGTCAAGAGCGTGGGGTGTGAACCTTCAAATGTAAAATCATGTGAAATAATATCTTTAATAAACCTTGCTGCTAGGTTGATTATTCACTATAATCAGTACATGGCATTATATCACTCTTACTGACTTTGTAAACTAAGATTTTTGGTTTCCTTCCCTCCCACCGCCACGCTTTGTTTGTGGTCACATGATGCGGAAGTTTGTGTAACCTTTTCTATGATATGTACTCCGTAGGAAGAAGCTTACCTGGCTCGAGTCAAGGAGCTTGATGACGTCACCAACGATCGTGATCAAAAAAGAAAAGAGCATGAAGCCATGCGCAAACAGCGCCTTGATGAATTTATGACAGGGTTTTCCGTGATCACGACTAAACTCAAGGAAATGTACCAGGTGCTTAATTACTTCCCTAGCCATGAGTAATAATAATAATAACAATAATATACACTTACCGTATGTAGCGCCTTTCTCTTAGTGATCCAAAGCGCTTTACAATCAGTAGATATTTAGAAAACAAATAATTCAAATGCAACATAACAGGATTAAAAACCCCAACTGGCAGGAGGCCACCAGTTGGCTATTTACAAGCGTGGCCGAGGATTTGAACTCGGAACTACCGAGAAAAAATCCAGCAAGTGGCCAGAGCGGAACTCGAACCCGGGACCGCCGGATTGCGAGTCCGACGCGCTAACCACTCGGCCACGCTACCTCCTGTAACAACTCCTTACCACAACTCTTTTCTTTCCCCATTGTAGATGATTACTCTTGGCGGTGATGCTGAGCTGGAGCTGGTTGACAGTCTTGATCCTTTCTCTGAAGGAATTGTTTTCAGGTTAGTAACACAATACAAGAAAGGAATTTTAAAATCACGTAAACGGCAAACGATAATTTGTACCACGTGACCCATTTGCCCTCTAATAGGCCTTTAAAAAAAATACTATAATAGTTTGTTGTCCCTCCAAAAGTTTACTTAAGTATTGTTTTCAAGTTCTCTTGGGGCGATTGTAAGTCCTAAACTATTGTCATTTTGTGTTCATTATACGGTCGAAACCCCGCTTTACGGACACGCTAAATATGGACAGTTTTCTTTGTCAATGGGGAAAAGCCTTTAATTTTCTCTTCAACCCGCTTTTTACGGACACAGGTTAATGCGGACCACAAACACTTATTTCTTGCCCAATCAACAGATTCTCATAGAACGTTTACTTCTGGTCTTTTACTCGGATTTTTAAGCAGAAATCTCGTAAATTTGCGCAGGATACCATCCTGTGCAAGTTAACGAGATTTCTACGCAAAAACGGAGTAAAACGTCCCCACTATACTACTCTAATGGAAACATTTCATTGTCAACTGTGTGCTGTAATAAACCTTGCCTTTTTGACAGCATGTTGACTTTTCCAGAGTTTTAACGAGCACCTTGAAATTAAGGACTTCAAGATCTGAGAACGCTACGGCAGCCGAAACGCTGCTTAAAAGTAAATTTGTGTTCTTCAGTCTCAGTTGTGATTATTCCTACCGTCTGAAATTGTCAAATGTAGGAAAACCGTCCGAAGAACCATATCCAAGTTAAAGAGAAATAAAATTTCGTCGTCGTTAGTTCACATATTCCATAAAACGTAAAATTAGGTAATTTCACGTCGTAGTCAATAACTGAATCATGCAAAAACGGCAAAGAAATGTTTAAAAAAGTGTGGTGCACGTGCAAAGGTGTTGTTTTGCCAACGAAACCTATTGGTTTTTTGACGTTGCCGTCGCGTCGTCGGATCTTAGGGTCTGTTTACATGGAGGTGTGGGACCCTAGGTAGGTGAGGTAACTCGCTTAGGTGGGGTAACCCGCCTGTCCATATAATATCTCATGTGGTCACCCCATCTATCATGTAAACGGGATCAAATTAAGAGATTATATGGATAGGCGGGTTACCGAACCTTCCTGGCGTGCCACACCTTCATGTAAACAGGCCCTTAAAGTCTCTATAAAGTCATCGTGAAGACTGAGTGTATGGTGTATTCTCTTTGGATACTTAATTAACTTCATTTTATGATTGCCACTGTTTCAATTCTCAGTGTGAGGCCACCAAAGAAGAGCTGGAAAAATATTTCAAATTTATCAGGTGGAGAGAAGACACTGAGTTCTCTTGCTTTGGTAGGTTTACGATTTGCTTACATGGACCCTTTGCACAAAACGGTCGCATGGTACAAAAACACCTCGCTGGAGAAAAAAAACAACGCTGTGGGATCTTGAAACGAATTAGGATATTGGCTTTTTTCGAATGATGTATTCTCTTTACTTTTCTGCCTCACTGCTAGACTTTCTATAAGCCTAATTTTTTTCCTGGTTGGTTATGCCATTTTGAAGGACTTCATAATTCACCGGTCGAAAATTCCGGCGGTGACGTCAGGACAATTGACCAATAGGACAGTGAAAGATATTTCACGCGGCTCCGGACACAGCATATGTCAATCATTTTTTTCCCGCGTGAATTTATTATGATTCAAATCCATTCAGGCGAAACAAGTTGACCTCCAGATTTCGTCGGTCGGTGCGCGACCTCATGCTTTGAAGCTCGCTTCGATTACTTCTAAGAACTTGTGAAAGGTCGACTTGTAGCAAGTCTCCCCCACTGGGTCGTTTTCCATCCAACGAGATATTTTTGTTCCATGAGAGTCCCTAGCATGGCCGAATTAGGTGTCCAATTCTTTGGCTTGGTAGTGTGTTGTTTGCGTGCTTGCCTTTTTAATGTAACGGCTTTCGATATAATGCACGTTGCACTTGTTGGAAGTTACATTTTTGTCCGCTTGTTTAGGTATTTGCTCTTCATCACTACAAGCCCACACCTTTGTACGTCATGGATGAAATCGATGCTGCCCTGGACTTCAGAAATGTGTCAATTGTGGCCAACTACATTAAGGTCAGCAACAGTGTTTACTGTTAATGTACACCCCTGGTACTGATCAAATTAAAATCACACCCAAAACTCTAAATATCTTTTTGTAAATCCTAAGAGTCAAATAGACTTTCCTGATGCCGGGTTTTATGCAAACCTCACTTTGTGGGGCTTAAATTGGTCGCTCCGTTAGATCAAGCGGCGCTGTCTTATTTTTTCGTTTTCTTTCTTTTTTTCCGCCAATTTTCTTTCTTTTTTCCTCTCCTAATTCCGTCTATTTGTTTTGATGAAGATGTATACCGTTTGATCCGAAATACTTTTGCTGAATGTAGACTCAACCGAGAACGTTGTAAACAGATACGTACTTATTTGATTAAGCGCCCAACTTCGAATTAGCGCCAAACCTGTAGGGTATAAAAGTTCGCCCAGCCTCGAATAAACGCCCACCAACACCCACCAACCTCCCCCCCTTAAGAAAAAGCTGAAGTAGACAAGAAGATTATTGGTTATTGTTTCTTTTACTACCCTATCTGCTCCTCGTCGACTGCCCCATTCGCAGACGTTAGGCTGTGAGACATCTACGAGGCAACATCAGAGAGTTCGGTTATTGACCTTACTGACGATGAGATATAAATTGACTAGGTACTTCTAAGAAACTTAGAAGACCGAACGAGTTCTTAGTCTTTTTTAAATAAACTTTCAATTAACAGTTATAATTCTGCTCCGGCACATCTTCACGTTTTGTCCTTATTGCTGTTTTGTTGGAAAATTTACTTACTTGCTGAAAATAATGAAAATTTAATAAGCGCCCACTTCCAAGGCCCAAAAATATAAGAAACGGCTAGGACACCTAATCGAATAAATACGGTGAAAAAAGGGTGAAAGACGTACTTACCAGCTCTTTCGCTTTTTATGTTCTCTCTACAGGAAAGGACCAAAAATGCACAGTTCATAATCATCAGCTTACGGAACAACATGTTTGAATTAGCTGACCGACTCATTGGTATATTTAAAACGGATAATTGTACAAAGAGTGTGGCAATCAATCCACGAGCGATAGCATCCACTGCCTGATAAGCCAGATCGCGACCAGTTAGTATCTAGAGGGATTGTTGTATTATAAATAAAAATGTATTTTTACATCGTTATTGTGTAATTCTCTCTATTGTTGGGAATNCGGTGAAAAAAGGGTGAAAGACGTACTTACCAGCTCTTTCGCTTTTTATGTTCTCTCTACAGGAAAGGACCAAAAATGCACAGTTCATAATCATCAGCTTACGGAACAACATGTTTGAATTAGCTGACCGACTCATTGGTATATTTAAAACGGATAATTGTACAAAGAGTGTGGCAATCAATCCACGAGCGATAGCATCCACTGCCTGATAAGCCAGATCGCGACCAGTTAGTATCTAGAGGGATTGTTGTATTATAAATAAAAATGTATTTTTACATCGTTATTGTGTAATTCTCTCTATTGTTGGGAATGGGCCGCGATTTCATAATGGATCATCGGAAACAATCAGATTGACCGGACCGACCCGATCGATTATCGATCATAATCGGAAAAATCTCTTTATAAGAATTCCATTTAGGACGGCTGTTGTACCGTGTTTTACAACACGACAAAAACATACGAAATGTATCAGAAAAGGCAAATCAACTTTGTTCTGGTTGCCACAGGTCAGGAAATGGTCAGGGGAAAAATTCTACAAGGACAGGGAAAGTCAGGGAATTTCTCTTCGAGTCAGGGAAAGTTTGAGTCTTTGAAAGAAGTCAGGGAAAAGTGGGATTTTGAGAGTACATATTTATTATTTTACCCCCGCTTTTATTGTTTTCTAATTCTATCATTAAATATTCTTTTGTACATTTTACGCTAGATGTGAATAATGTTGTACGGTAAAACCCCGCAACTAAGAACCTGGATTTTAAGAACGTGTTAGGCTAAAATTTGCCAGGGAAGCTCCCATCTATATAAGAACCTATTTAGCCTAAAATTTGGAACAGGTTCTTTTTTTCTGAAATCTATAAAAAAATTCTGCGTAAATGAGATAAGTCAACTTTCAGAATCCTCTTTAAAGACAAAGGTGCCTTATCACTCCAACTGCAATGTAAATGCCAGTGTTTAAAATCAAATAAAATTGTTATTGATACACTTACAAATTAAATACAGTATGTAATTTTTTTTATTATACTGGAAAAAAGGACCTATTTAAGAACCTAAATAGCCTCAACTTGTGTTAACTGCCATTTATATAAGAACCTGTTTAGGCTAACTTGAAAAAATCCCGGTTCTTAGTCGCGGCGTTTTACTGTATTGGTAGAATGTTGTTCATAAAATTGAACGATGAGCTGACTGTACACTGCACGTGACTACAGGTGAAGGCATAAAAAAATGGGTAGAGAGGATGGCTGTTAGGGGAGGATGGAGGCCATTATTGTGACAAAATTTGTGAAATTGTTAATTCATTTGGCCAAGGATATTTCATATTTGTCAGAAAAAATTCAGGGAATTTTAAAAAAATGGGTAGAGAGGATGGCTGTTAGGGGAGGATGGAGGCCATTATTGTGACAAAATTTGTGAAATTGTTAATTCATTTGGCCAAGGATATTTCATATTTGTCAGAAAAAATTCAGGGAATTTCAGAGACCTTTGGCTGTGGCAACCATGTCTGTACATTCGAACCTGCCGCCATGGAGATCCAATAGATCAGTGGTTTGAGCGTCCGATCTAGAACTAGGAGGGTTGTGAATTCGATTCATCCCTGCTACCAGAGGCCTCCGTTGTTTAGCATTTACAAAATGTTTCTGGAAAATCCGGTTTGAAAGTAAATGAAACACGACTTTTCGGCTCGTTTCGGTGGAAAATGTCCGGGAGCAACAGAACATCTGAACAGGTAAACCTGGGTCGCTTTCCATTAAACTAAAACTTTCTAAAATTTGCATAACAGCGGCAAATGCTACAGAAATTTTCCGGAAAAGTCTCCAGAAATTCCGGAAACTGTTGAATCGCGAAACATTCAACCGAAAATTCTAGAAATTCCGTGGAACCGTGTCTGAAAATTTTGGGTATACCGCGCGAAGTTGTCCCCTTTTTGGAAATTTTGGAAAATGCTGTTCCATTCGCTACTGGAAGTTGCCGGAAATTCAAACCGGACGTTTTGGTTGAATGGAAAGCGCCCCTGATTTCTCGGTCGGAATGTTTCCAAAGGAAACTCGTGTTCCATTTCTTCAGAGGCATCTTTGATACCAGCATCAGACTTTTGCGGCCGTTTTTCGGTAAATGTAGATGATTAGTGCAGTAGTAAACGCGATTCCGGGACGAAATTTACCAGTGCTGAATTTTGCATACTATTTACTCAAACCGTGGACCGACCGGTTTGCCATGTAAATGGTAAACAACCCTCTTTTCCCTGGTATTCTGAGAGCGGGAGCCGAATACCAGGAAAAAGAGGCGGTGCATTAAATCATGTGAAACGCTATATTAAATGTTCGATATGTAGTACTTTGAACAAAAGTATTAATTTTCCAGTACAACTTGTCACCTTGTCACTATTTTCTAAATTTAGCAATCGCTGAACAATCAGATTTCGGGAGTAAATTAAGATGTTATTCGTGCAACTTGATAACGTTACTTTTCTAAACTGCCATTATATGTTTTACTAGATTTTCTCAAAGTTGTGCACTAAAGATAAGAGGTAATAATTTTCCACGAAGAAAGTTTGAAGCTTGTATATATTTTCTTTCCTTGTACTTTTTACTCTAATTTATTCTGCAGGAGCTGCTGGAAATAGGGCTATTGTTCTTTAAAGTCGCAAACTAATCATTATATTAGTTTTGTCAAGTTTTACTCAGTCGGGAAATTTTCTTTTTAAATGCGTCGGCGTTAATTATTCATTGTCTAACTGAAAGTGCGGGTTTTTCTTACTGCATTAATTTTCTTTTGGATCAATGTTAAAAGTTTTTCGAAGTCACTATGTAATCAGATGCTGAGAGTCAAAATGCTTCTTGTGGAACTTAGCGATAAAAGTTACTTTTCTCAAATAGTAATTTTCACGACTAATATTCCTCAACTTTCTTCGGTTTTATAAAGAATAACGACCATTGTTTTCCAAGGAGTTTGAAGTCTACTCATTGACTCGCTTGTTTTGTCGTCTCAGAGGAGTGCGTGCTTTTCTCAACGCATTGTCATGCCTTATCAACACTTGAGCTTTATGTAATTTTTTGATAACAGGGAATTCCCAAGCGTAATTACCGTTTTCGTCAAGAACTTGAGAGTGTCGGCAAACTTTAATTTTTCAATGTTGCGTTGATTGCCTATTGTTGAACAAAGAGTGCACGCTTTTCGCACATGCCTTTTGGAGAAAAAACTTTCTCAAAAACGTCTCATGCTGGACTGAATTTTAATCGAGCAACAGTATAAATGGAGACGACAATTTCAAGTTGGTTAAACTGTTTTTTGCAAGACATCTCCGTACCTTGCCTGGTGCAGTGAAGACCAAACTCAGCTTGACGATTTCTGACCTGAAGTGATAGTCAAGATTCACTTCCACCTCTTTGAAAATGCCAGGTTTGTTCTTGATTCAAGTGTTACTTTTGGTCAAACTGTCATTTACATTTGTTAAGAGCCGCAATTTCTTTAAAGGTTTTCACTACTTATTTTTCGTTGGAGAAAGAAATGATTCCTTCAAACGCAACCTAACAGATTTTCTTTGCATGATTCTTTCCTGTGTGTGTTTTTTTGTCGCTCGAAAATACCCGTGGCGTTTCCTTCGTGGATGTTGAACGGGACGGGCAAAATGTAATTTCTATTTGTTGGGGCCAATCGAGCCGTATTTTGGTTTCGTCTATAGCGAGAATTTTTCGCAGCAGTTACAGAAGTGTTTAGTTGTTATATACAGACTACACGTAAATGTACATCAATTGTTACCCTGACTTAGGCAACATGCTTTACTTTATCAATTGCTTCCTCACCGTATCAACGCGATCAAAATATTTTTTTGCTTTGCTGGCAAAACGATGCCTATAAACGACTCTGGTAAAGACCAGGAAAATTTCTGAAATGCATTTGTGATGTAACTGAACCGACTTGCGAGTGTAGATTAACTGTTTGGTTTCACAGACTTTCAATTCTTTTGGGAATTACCATTGATTGCTTGAAGATTTATTTCTCGACTTCTCGTTACTGATCAAAAACGTTTTGGAAAGTGCTTAGCTTGCACCTGAGTAAGAAATAGCACTCTGCTTCGGGACGGTTCATGCTGGGATAAAAGAGTAGACAGAGGGGCAGGAAAAGTAAAAAATCATAGAAAAGAGAACAAGTTGCACAAGGTGAAACTAATAAATAATTTAGTGCAAGATGGTAGTAATTACAACGACAATAACATTTTTTTTTTAACAGGTATGCCTGACTAACTTAAAGATGAAGAGCAGAACAATTTGCCATGCGAGAAAGCCATAAAAATAACAATAAAAATGTACTGCCACCGTCCTCAACAGGATAACAGAGCAGCCAACTCAGTTGTGTGTCTTGTGTGATTATTTCAGTATATACCAAACCTGTGGTAAGTTCTTTTTTTGCATAACTCAATCGGTTAGTAGGAATTAAGGCGCCTTTCCATGCATTGTCTTAAACAGGTTATTATTTTAGTTCAATGAAAGAATTGGTCACAGGGAGGAACAGAGGGTCATTACGACAAATAATAACCTACTGTTCCTCCTCAGTGGCCACCATAATGACCTGTTCATTCTAGAAGTATGGAAAGTGGTATGTGCGCTCGGTCATTATTTCTGAAAGATCGTCGGAAATTAAACACAATCTCATTTTCTTTTCATGTTGTCACTTTCAAATCAACCATATAAGGTTTTTAAATCATTCTCAAATCACTGGTTTGGTATATGCACCGTGACAAGCTGTACTTTCCATTTAATAATACATTTAGACTCTTTATGTCCTATAGGGCCTAAAAGAAGTTTGCGCTTTTGCATTTAGTTAAAAACGTATACGTTAAACAGGTCAACATAACATTACGTACAGCTAAATACATCAACGCAAACCATTTATAAAAAAAAAGAGGAAAATGTATTTCATAAATGCAAACCCTTTCCCCTAAAACAAAGTATTCACAAGAAAAAAGAAACATTCCAATCCTACAAGACAAAAAAAAGGTAAGTAAACAAAAGGTAAGTAAAAACAAGGTAAGTTAACTTCTACTAAGCCCTGGGGACTAAGTGCTCCGCCCAGAGGGGGGAGAGCCCTGGGGACTAAGTGCTCCGCCCAGAGGGGGGAGAGCCCTGGGGACTAAGTGCTCCGCCCAGAGGGGGGAGAGCCCTGGGGACTAAGTGC